TTACAAATTGCGGCCAAGATTATTGGATCTGATCACATTGTTACAAATTGCTGCCAAGAATAATTGATCTAATCACATTGTTAAAAATTTATGTCAAGATTACTGGATCCAATTGTATTGTTACAAAATTCTGCCAAGATTAATACATCTGGCAACATTGTTAAAAATTGCTGTCAAGATGAATTGATCTAGTCACATTGTTAAAAACTGGTGTTAAGTTTAATAGATACAGTCACATTAAAAAAAAAAAAAACTCACAAGTTTAATGGATCTAGTCACATTGTTAGAAATTGTTTTAAGAAAAATGGATCAGGTCACATTGTTTAAAATCTGCTGACAAGTGCAGTATTCTTGCATTTCCCTATTGCCTGTTGAATCATTATGTGTCACAAATAACTCACAGACTATTTCTCCATTTTGTTATATCCCTTAGAGGCCCTTCAATATCATGGATGGAAACCAGTCCAGTACATTTGACTTCTCTTATCAACGTTGGCCCTAAAGTTTTTCTTGGCATATTCGTTTATCAGTCTATGAGTTAGGTTGATTCAAGAACCGACATCACAGCACTTAGGGCATTTCCATAAGCGCTCCGTCACTATCTTCAGCAGCCAGTGACGAGTTCTGATACTAATGGTACCAGTAGTATTCTGATTAAACATCCGTCTTGCCTTTCCTCTGAGCCTCAAGCATCTGCCAGAACCTCTCGTCACTCCCCCGCATCAAGCTCAGCAAACTGTGGTGATCCATCGGCTACCTCCGAAACTGTACGCGCTACTCCCACAAGGCACTAACCACGTCTGCATTATCATGCATCCGTATTTCACCAAGTTGTGCAGAGGGCCGGACGGTCTGTCCGCCTGGGTCATTTGCTAAACACACTTTCTGTACTGAAACAACAAACTCCCCCCTTTTGTTTATGTCCAAAAAAATTTGTTTTTTAATACATTTTACTTTGTTGAATTTTTAGTCGTTCTCTTGACATAAAAACACAAAAATTTTCTTTTTAGCTTTCCACTCGTACTTTAGCAGATGCTGTCTTGGCTTCAGAAGTTGCTGTCTATGTACATTATGTTACATTCTTTAGGGACTAAAACAGGTAGACGGCAAAATCCTGGTCATATTTTTAATTTGCGAGATTGTGACAACTCACCCCGGAACCGGGTCGAAAAGAACCCCTGTGCCGTGACTAAGGAAGAGGACGGAAAATAAATGTAAAGTGGAACAGGAGATTCAAAAACATATTTGGAAACTGTATAAAATTTTTTCAAACAGGAAAAAAAAAAAGAAGTGTTGATGGTTTCTTATTCTTCTTTTTTTTTTCCTTTACGGCTGAAACTCTAGCGGAAATTTTTGGGTTTTTCGTCCACTTCTGAGTTTGGTTTGCATCGTTTGACAGACTGNGATATGTACCACAGACATCAATGTTATACAGTTACAGCGGTATCTGAGCCAAAGGTCAGCCACGCAAAATATGTACCGCAGAAATATCAGAGACACTGAAAAGTACTTTATAGGAAGTGAACGACCTTTTCAAGAGATCTTTTCCTACCCTCACAACGTTAGGCATTTAGAAGTAAAGAAAAGAAGAAGAAGAATGTGAACAAACGATATTCTATACGTTCAGTCGGACATATTGTGAGAATCACTTACTCGCAGAAGAGTTTCCGCTGGCGATGTAGTTACTGTTGCCGCCCATGAGCCTTCTGTCCATACTTTCCTCCTGCCTGCGGTCCATGGACTGACTGGCAAACATCCCGCTTTGTTCCGCGTATGAAGACGACATGGCAAACCCAGACCTCGCCGTTTGATATTCACCTTTAACCAGCCCGACCTGCCGAAATACATTTCAACTGGAAAGTAAAGAACCATTGTCCACGCCTTTAGGCGCATAGGGCATACAGGGCTGGATCTATATTTGTATAGACCAATCGACAGAAGATAGGTGATGTGGTCAGCATCACGCTACCGCCTTTACTTCCTAGGACTGCACCTGATACCCACTCAAGTTTTGGTCGACCTGGAAGCCAATGACATTTTTGCAAAAAGACCGGCTTTACCAGGAAGCGAACCTTCCGATCTGTAGGCGAGTCTAGTCGCTACGCCATGGCGACAACATTAATTTGTGTTCAGTATTTAATGCAGCCAATAAATTCATGAAGGCAAACACGCATAACATAACATAGCCCTTGACCTGTTAGGGTCGTGGAGGTGTATCGATGAAAGCACACACACATAAAAACCGCCATCTTTCTCTGTCTTTTTCTTGATGAATAACTTTTTCTTGATGTCTTCCTCGGTCCCGAAAGTTGTAGGTTCAAACCCGTGTCAAGCCCGGGTTGTTCAAGAAATCACATTGACCTCTAGTTTGACTCAGCCTAAAATGTAAACCACGTGCAATCATGGGAAGTGAAGTCAGCCGGCGTAATGCTGACTATGTCACCCACAGAGTGCCACTTAGTCTATAAATCATAGGTATAACACTATGTTATAGAGTAGAATGACTCCGGGCGTACACATTTCAAGGACATGTGTGCCGTTTAAAATAAGGCTACAGTGTAATACTCCACGGAGAACACAACTGAAAGCCTTTGTAAGATTTAAAACCCTCCCTCAGTGAACACAGAGCCCGTGCTCTAACAAAAGCCACCACGCACAGATATTTTGAATTGGAAGTACACGCTTTGTTTTCGAGCCAGAAAATGCGACTGTTAATTGAATTCGCAAACACCGTTTTTTTTTTATATGTATAGAGGCTACTGATACAAGGATGTCACTGGCTTGTACTTGACACAAGAAAAGGAGTTAGAATTGTATCATACATATCGCCTAACACTTGTTTTCCTGACTAATTTAATGAAACACCTCTTGTGACTAAAGTGAGTGCAATGTGATATACAGTTCTAGAAAACTTTCCAATAGTTAACCAATCGAAATACGAGGAATAGAACATATGATATCTTGAACATATGATATCTCTATATAACAGCTAGGCGCCCTTGAAAGACAGCTCAGTGCGATCAGAAATCACTCTGAGGTTGAACCTCAGCTCAGGTTGCGCGGACCTGAAAAGGACAGACTGCGGGACAGAAGTATGCAGAGGCTAGCAGTTCGTAGTGGGGTTCTAACCGGGGACGCCCAAATTCTTCTGTAAACTCACATTTCGAATGTCTTATTGAATTGTTCGGCTTCTTTATTAATTGTCTAGGATTCACAGCCATATATTAAAACTGGCTCAAATGTCATGAAAGAATTCATTTTCTGGCCTCCAGTGACATGTATTTATTTAATAAAATGCTCTTCACTTTATAAAGTGCAGTTTTAGTCTATTCTGTTCTGTTCTTTATCTCTGTGATACACCTTCCATCGGATGTTAACCAACTGTCATACTGGAGTGGTAGTCAAAGGTGAGAGCAACAGGTGAAATGATAATATCAGTGTGTGGTTTGACAGCAGTCTGAGAGAGTATGCAACCAAGAGAGATAGACAGAGCGTGCTGGAGATCAATTGTAACCAATAGTTACTGTTAGCACGGCAGTTGATTGGTTTATGAATCCAATCACATAGAAAAAATAATTTCTGCAAAGATTAACGGATCCAGTCACATTGTTACAAATTGCGGCCAAGGTTATTGGATCCGATCACATTGTTACAAATTGCTGCCAAGAATAATTGATCTAATCACATTGTTAAAAATTTATGTCAAGATTACTGGATCCAATTGTATTGTTACAAAATTCTGCCAAGATTAATAGATCTGGCAACATTGTTAAAAATTGCTGTCAAGATGAATTGATCTAGTCACATTGTTAAAAACTGGTGCTAGGTTTAATAGATCCAGTCACATTTAAAAAAAAAAAAACTCACAAGTTGAATGGATCTAGTCACATTGTTAAAAATGTCTGCCAAGTTTAATGGATCTAGTCACATTGTTAAAAATTCCTGCCAAGTTTAATTGATCTAGTCACATTGTTAAAAATTGCTGCCAAGTTTAATGGATCTAGTCACATTGTTAGAAACTGTTTTAAGAAAAATGGATCAGGTCACATTGTTTAAAATCTGCTGACAAGTGCAGTATTCTTGCATTCCCCTATTGCCCTGTTGAATCATTATGTGTCACAAATAACTCACAGACTATTTGTCCATTTTGTTATATCCCTTACAGGCCCTTCAATATCATGGATGGAAACCAGTCCAGTACATTTGACTTCTCTTATCAACGTTGGCCCTAAAGTTTTTCTTGGCATATTCGTTTATCAATCTATGAGTTAAGTTGATTCAAGAACCGACATCACATCACTTATGGCATTCCCATAAGCGCTTCGTCACCATCTTCAGCTGCCAGTGACGAGTTCTGATACTAATGGTACCAGTAGTATTCTGATTAAACATCCGTCTTGCCTTTCCTCTGAGCCTCAAGCATCTGCCAGAACCTCTCGTCACTCCCCCGCATCAAGCTCAGCAAACTGTGGTGATCCATCTGCTCCTCCGAACTGTACTCGCTCTCCCACAAGGCACTAACCACGTCTGCCTTATCATGCATCCGTATTTCACCAAGTTGTGCAGAGCCGGCCGGTCTGTCCGCCTGTTCATTTGCTAACACACTGTCCTGTCCTGAAAAAAAAAAACCTGACAATACTCCTCACCCGTGTCCACCGCAGTGAAGCATGCCACTATGCACGAAGCATGCCTGTCCTGACGTTCCTCAGCATGCTTTCTGATTCTGTTACAATTACGATGTGTGTGTATGTGTGTGTGTGTGTGTGTGTGTGTGTGTGTGTGTGTGTGTGTGTGTTTTCAGTGACCTCCTCCAGCTCCATTTTTAAGCTGGAATTTGTGTCATCAATCTATCTCCCCTTTCATTACCTTAATGGTGAGTTGTTTTTTTTTTTTTTTTTTGTTTCTTCCTTGTACCTTATTTTACATTCTTTAGGGACTAAAACAGGTAGACGGCAAAATTCTTGTCATATTTTTGATTTGCGAGCATTGTGACAACTCACCTCGGAACCGTGGTCTGAAGCAGAACTCATGTGTCCGTGACCTGAAGGAAGAGGATCGGAAAATATAATGTGAACGTGTGAACAGGAGATTGAAAAAACATATTTGGAAACTGTATAATTGTTTCAAACAGGACAAAAAAGAAAATAGAAGTGTTAATGGTTTCTTATTCTTCTTCTTCTTCGCCTTTACCGGCTGTAAACTCTAGCGGAAAGTTTTGGTTGTTCGTCCACTTCTGAGTTTTGCGTTTGCATCCGTTTGACAGATCTGACTACTGTGTATGCAGACTGTTGGTTCCTTGCCTCTCAGGCAGATGCACTCTGACTTCGAAGGAGGCTCCCAATTAGTCGACTCTTACGACATGCTTTTGGGTAGGCAGTGGGTCTATTTTTGTTTTCTCCATAATAGGGCTCTGGAAACCAAACGGGAAGTATTGCTGATTTAAAACAAATATAAAGTAAACAATTTATATAATAAATAGAAAAGGAACTACGGGTAATTATAGTAGTAGTAGTAGTAATAGCAGCAGCAGTAAAATAATGGCAGTATAAATATTAGCTTATGTAATAGTACCAGCAACAGCAACAGTAGTAGACGTTGTAGTAGTAGCAGTATTTTAAGCAGCAGCAAGAACAATAGGAGCAGTACTAGTGGTAGTGGTGGTGGTGGTAGTAGTAGTTGTAGTAGTGGTAGTAGTAGTTTAAGTAGTAGAAATATTGGTTGTGGAAGCTGTACCAGCTACAGTAAAATTAGCGGTCGAAATAAAGAAAGAAAGAAAGAAAGAAAGAAAGAAAGAAAGAAAGAAAGAAAGAAAGAAAGAAAGAAAGAAAGAAAGAAAGAAAGAAAGAAAGAAAGAAAGAAAGAAAGAAAGAAAGAAAGAAAGAAAGAAAGAAAGAAAGAAAGAAAGAAAGAAAGAAAGAAAGAAAGAAAGATAGAAAGAAACATTTGCAACGAGTATTAAATAATACGCAAGGCAAGTTACAAAGGAAAACATAGAATTGACAATGAAATAGAAATTAACTTCGATTAATTACAGTGTTAATAGTACTGTAGTATTTAGATCCAGAGTTAAGGTTCAATTACCTTCATAGTCAACAACGGGAATGTCAGCAAAATATGGAATGAAAGCCAGCCGTTCGCGAACTCGCCTAATTCCTCCTGACATCCAGGGGCTGTTGTGTATCATGTGGGAGTAAGAAAACGACATTAAAATCACACTTTTCACAAAACAGTTGAGGAAATATATCATGTGAGAGTAAGATAACGACATTAAAATCATACTTTTCATAAAACAGTTGAGGAAATATATCATGTGAGAGTAAGATAACGACATAAAAATTATACTTTTCACAAAACAGTTGGGGAAATATATCATGTGTGAGTAAGATAACGACATTAAAATCATACTTTTCACGAAACAGTTGAGGAAATATATCATGTGAGAGTAAGATAACGACATTAAAATCATACTTTTTACAAAACGGTTAAGGAAATATATCATGTGAGAGTAAGATAACGACATTAAAATCATACTTTTAAGATAACGTCATTAAAATCATACTTTTCACAAAACAGTTGAGGAAATATATCATCAGATGATCGAATAATTCGATTGTGTGTTAGATATGATGTGAAATACACATCAGCAGATCATGAAATAATTGGATTGCAATTTACATAACACGATAGATGACACATCAACATTGATGGCGTTGATGGATTGTGTTATACACAGCCCATAAGAGTACACGTCTATAGATGATGAAATCATTGGATTGTGGTTTACTAAACAAGTGATAAGATGATGCCTTTAATGGATTGTATTGTGTAGAACACGTTAGAGTACCTCTGTAACTTCATGAAATTCTTCTTCTTCTTTACGTCCTCTTTTACCGCATCGGGTGTCGAGGGAGATATAAGGTCCTGCCTCGTGCTCTTCTGGCTGCTTCGACCAAAGACACATTGTGGTATTGTAGAGCTTTTCTGATGTTATCCTTTCATATTGTTCTTCGTCTACCTCTTGCTCTACGTCACTCTTCTCTTTTTTATGCCTTGAATGTTATAGCATCAGAAGGCATTTTCCAAGTGGGCAAACTTTTTGATTTGCTGTCTTTCTATAAAATTTAGAATTGGTCCTGTGCCGACTTTATCTCGTTATTACCTCATTCCAGATTTTATCTCTTCTGGTCACTCCTACAGCCTTTCTCAGACACCTGATTTCCATGGTTACTAATTTTCTTTTATGTTTTGTTGTGAGTGACCACGTCTAGCCTTTTCTGTCTAGTTGGTGAGTCCATGTGTTTGTAGGTCTCTCTGTATATTATTTCTCCACCGTCTTATATGTCAAGTTCATGGTCCGTTGTCACTCCTGTTTTATGTATATACTGCCATACTGATGTTCTTTAAAATTTTTAAATTATTGTTCTATCTATTATACCTCTGACACCCCCTCGTTTTAAATGTACAGTTTCACCCACCTTTTTCTTCTTCGTGTTCGCCTTCACCTGCTGCTGCTTTTTCGTCTGCTTCTTCATTTATGCCATTTCAAAGACGACAATGGTCCCATAAACAACAAATGGCGTGACTTTGAACTTGCGCATCTCTAAGAGCGCTTTTTCGACACGTAGAAATTCATCATAATTGTATTTGGTAATTCCAAAAATAATATGTTGCTCACGTGTTTTTTTTAAAACAAAAATCACAAATAGACGTTAAATTAACCCTTTCTGTATAAACGATTTATTTAATTGTATCTGTTTCATTTTATCCATACCTAAGTGTATATTGCTTTTAGCTCCTATTCTAAGATTATGAGAGAGTTAAAGTATTTACTGACTGGTACTGACAAAGCTGCCTTCTAACAACACAACTAACAACAGCTGTCGGCTACCTTTACCTCATCAAGTGCCAGCTACTTAGAAAACGAATACCTTCTGCTTCTTGTGCTTTTTGTGTGTATTCATTTTCGTTTGCTGAGGTCAAATCATCATATGGGCTGATGCTATGCCAGTTGCAGGTCCTCTATGGTTCCCCAAACATGCTCTGCATTCTTTGCTCTTGAGTCCAGGGTTCTGTTTGTAAGTGTAACTTAGTGGCCAAGCCTGCAGAATGTGCTCTGGCGTATGTGGTTCCCGCCTAACGTAAACACAGTAGGACACTGAACAGTCTTTATGTTAAACATATGGTAGATAAGCCTACTGTTTCCAGTTCTTACAGTGGAAACTGCATGTTGTTTTCTCTTGAATCTGTTGGTGAGGTTTTGTGGATTTGTTGTTGTCGCTGTCTTTGATGATAGACAAAAGTTATATTACGCCTTTCTGTGGGAACTATTATTGAACTATTGTTGAAACTGTTGGTTTGTTCTCTCCATAACTCATTGTATTTCCCTTTGATAACTGATTGGATGTGACTTGTGGTAATGATGAAAACAATGAATATAACGCATGACTTACCTTCTGGAACACCAGGTCAGGCCTACAGCTAGACAGGTCAACATGATGATGCCGGCGATTATAGCGGCAATGACGGCAGCGATTGGAAAACTTTCTGTAGAGAATAATTGAACGTATGGTCCAGTTAATCGAAGTTCTATACTCCAGCTTTTCTTAAAAGTCACGCAATCGTGTTAGCGTCAGGAATTCTTCATTATCCCCCAATCAAGTCTGTACAGCGTTGATGTTATCAGCTTTATCCAAGCTTCTACCCGTTTGTATTCGTATATTACTTGCCAATGTCAGGCGCGCTACTATGGTGACTGTTCACAAGCAAACGGTTCACCCTAAAGTTGATTCGTTCCTGTACCGAAGGAAACGTATTAGAAAGACCACCACCACCCTTTGTGACAAAACTGACACAGAATGCAGGCTCAGGACAGTCACTATCACACACAAACATTACAATAAATGTGTGTGCACATCAGAACTGTACAATTAAAATGTAACATCCAGTCATGTTTAATGCAGGAAGCCGCTGGGGTGTAGCGGCCAGATGCTCGCTTAGGAATTAGAAGATCGAGGGTAAGGCTCTGACAAAGCAACTTTTTTTTAAAAATGACCTTGGCTCCCAGGTCGACTTAGCCTTGAGTGGTTAAGAGGGAAAAATCCTGGGAAGTAAAAGTGGGAGGTGTGATACTGACTACATCACCCACATGTTGCCGATTGATGTATTTTTAAAAAGGTCGAGTACTTTATGCCCATTACGACTCAAGGCTTGTAAAAGGGTAGTCTGTTTGGTTACCATCAACATCACTGTGCAACAAACTAATGGAACATGTACATTACTGTACAACAAACTGTTGGAACATGTACATTACGGTGCAACAAACTGTTGGAACATGTACATTACTGTGCAACAAACTGTTCGAACATGTACATTACTGTACAACAAACTGTTGGAACATGTACATTACTGTACAACAAACTGTTATAACATGTACATTACTGTACAACAAACTGTTATAACATGTACATTATTGTACAACAAACTGTTGTAACATGTACATTACTGTACAACAAACTGTTATAACATGTACATTGCTGTGCAAAAAAACTGTTATAACATGTACATTACTGTGCAAAATAAATGTTATAACATGTACATTACTGTGCAAAATAACTGTTATAACATGTACATTACTGTGCAAAATAAATGTTATAACATGTACATTACTGTGCAAAATAAATGTTATAACATGTACATTACTGTACAACAAACTGTTGTAACATGTACATTACTGTGCAGCAAACTGTTGTTACATGTACATTACTGTACAACAAACTGTTGTAACATGTACATTACTGTACAACAAACTGTTGTAACATGTACATTACTGTGCAGCAAACTGTTGTTACATGTACATTACTGTACAACAAACTGTTGTAACATGTATATTACTGTACAACAAACTGTTGTAACATGTACATTACTGTGCAGCAAACTGTTGTAACATATACATTACTGTGCAACAAGCTGCTGTAACATGTATTTATTACTTACCTACATTATAAACTGCAACGAACTGTCGTATTGAAGTAATTATCACTTACCTTCGCCATACACTCCTACAAACTGTTCAGTAACTGGAATCACTGTGATATTTTCCAAGAAGTCAGTGGAGTTCCCCACACTGAAGAAAGTTGTGCTATTAAAGTTCAGTGTTGGTGTAATGGGATCGACCAGTCTCCACGGGCACACTGTCTCGCTTCCATTGAGTTCCGCCGCAAAATCAGTTTTATCTGGTGAGGCAAAACACACAAATAACCATCGCAGAACATTCGGTAACAGCACTCTAAAAGGTAATTAGGTGTAGAGGGTCAGGGTCATTTTCCCAAATTTCTTCGAAATTTTCATGATAGATCCATTAATTGTGTAGACCTTTTAGCATCCAATGCTAGCCATTTTAAATAAATAATTAAACAAACATAATTTATTTATCGTAACTCACAGAAAGAAGTAGAAAGATAGAAGGGCACACTAGACAACATAAAGATCGTAAGCTATAGTATTTGGGTAAGATTTGTGGGTTGTCTAGTGTGTCCTTCTATCTTTCTGCTTCTTTCTGTGAGGCCGATCAATACATTGTCTGTTTGTTTATATATATATATATATATATATATATATATATATATATATATATATATATATATATATATATATATATATATATATAATATTGATACGGCCTCAAAGGTCCCCACTCTGTTTATTTATAGCAATGTCAGGCTGGGTGAACCTTTGGAGACCTTGGTAGAATTTGTTCTTTTCAAGCTACTGTTCAGAATTGAAACCATGCCATGGAATCTAGCCATTTCCCTTTATGTTTCATTTATACTGTACCCACTATGACTTAAGTAGGGATTATTTGCTGTAAACGTTTTAATCTAATGTTCTTTTCAAATTTTTTTTCGCCGACTAAGCAATTTCTGAACAATAATAAATTTACACATTCACGAGAAGCATTTGATGTTTTATGCAAAACTACGACTACAACAACATAACCCATTTGAATTGTCATGAGCCTGTCTTGCTAGCACAGTTGGCTAAACCTGACCTCGCGGCAACTGGATGACGAACTCCTTTCGTTCAAGCCTGGAGGTAGGCAGAAAAGCTACATTTCTCCCAGATATATGGTATATGTCATGGAATCCTATCCATATTACCCAGGCAAAGGGTTAACAACTATTAGGTTTTTAGATACTAAAAAAAAAAAAAGTAATGACATTGCTGAAGATGATGTTGTGGCAATGCAAGTAATTATTTTTGTGAAAAGCATAAAGAAAGCTCTGTGCTTTCGTAAAATCCTTCCACAGATGACGTCACAGGACAGTCCTCTACTTAAGATGGTGGTAAGACTGGTTTTCCCTTCTTTCTGATGCTTTTAACGACCCCAAAACATCTAGAACACCCTAACCCCAATCCACCTACGTCACACGAGAGAGTGTAGCCCAGGTCCCACGACTGCCTGTAGCCTAGGTCCCACGACTGCCTGTAGCCTAGGTCCCACGACTGCCTGTAGCCTAGGTCCCACGACTGCCTGTAGCCTAGGTCCCACGACTGCCTGTAGCCTAGGTCCCACGACTGCCTGTAGCCTAGGTCCCACGACTGCCTGTAGCCTAGGTCCCACGACTGCCTGTAGCCTAGGTCCCACGACTGCCTGTAGCCTAGGTCCCACGACTGCCTGTAGCCTAGGTCCCACGACTGCCTGTAGCCTAGGTCCCACGACTGCCTGTAGCCTAGGTCCCACGACTGCCTGTAGCCTAGGTCCCACGACTGCCTGTAGCCTAGGTCCCACGACTGCCTGTAGCCTAGGTCCCACGACTGCCTGTAGCCTAGGTTCCACGACTGCCTGTAGCCTAGGTCCCACGACTGCCTGTAGCCTAGGTCCCACGACTGCCTGTAGCCTAGGTCCCACGACTGCCTGTAGCCTAGGTCCCACGACTGCCTGTAGCCTAGGTCCCACGACTGCCTGTAGCCTAGGTCCCACGACTGCCTGTAGCCTAGGTCCCACGACTGCATGTAGCCTAGGTCCCACGACTGCCTGTAGCCTAGGTCCCACGACTGCCTGTAGCCTAGGTCCCACGACTGCCTGTAGCCTAGGTCCCACGACTGCCTGTAGCCTAGGTCCCACGACTGCATGTAGCCTAGGTCCCACGACTGCCTGTAGCATAGGTCCCACGACTGCCTGTAGCCTAGGTCCCACGACTGCCTGTAGCCTAGGTCCCACGACTGCATGTAGCCTAGGTCCCACGACTGCATGTAGCCTAGGTCCCACGACTGCCTGTAGCCTAGGTCCCACGACTGCCTGTAGCCTAGGTCCCACGACTGCCTGTAGCCTAGGTCCCACGACTGCATGTAGCCTATCTACCACCACATGAAATATTAGACTGTCTCGTGACCTGTGGATTTCCTCTGTTTGGGGTTGGATTTGAAGAAAGCACTGAAAGCTCAACGAAACGTAAGCGCTTATATCACAATGAACACAACTTTGCGATTAAAACGCCCTTTAACAAAGACGTTGATCGAAACGTTCTATTGCTTACTTACTGTCCTTTCTTTCGCGGAGATTTCTAGTTAGTTCGCTTGAGCATTGAATCAGCCATATTTCGCATTATTTGGATAACTCTCACTCCTTGTTTCCGACAATATTAGCTTTCTGTTCTTGATATGCCCTGTCTCGAAAAGCCTCATGTGTTTCACTCGACAGCTAAAATTCAACATCATTATTGAGAAAGGTGTTTATGACACAAAGCGCTTGCAGCTATACTTCTACCTCACTGTATACTGATCAGTCTCGTAGCATGGATGGAAACTAGTCCAGCACTTTTAGCCCCTTTCACCAACATACGTCTTGAAAGCCATCGTTTCCTCATTCTATATGTTGTCCATTTCAATGCTCTTTGATGATTCGCTAGCTTCTTTTCTGTTTGGATATGCCCCATAAAAGAATATCTTATTTGTCACATATCTGTAGATCCTATTAGGCTAACAATACTGACTACAAAAAAAGCTTTCAAAAAAAAAAAAAAAAAAACTAAATGTGACTAGAAAGCTCAGAGGAGGTAATGGAAAAGACGCATACAAACACAACGAAACGTTTCAGCCAAAACCTTTGTCAACGGAGAAATAAATACAGCACAAAATGTGACTAGAAAACTTAACGGGTAAGACAAGAGAACTAGTTAAAAAAAAAGGGTAACATACAGTAAGAATCACGTATCTGTGTGTGTGTGTGCTTCTTTTCCATTGAGCTTTCTAGTCGCATTTTGTGTCATACTGCACATTTCTTTCATTCAGCTCAACTGCGGTCACTCTCTATTTACGTTATCACTAAAAATGCTAACACATACACAAATATTAATTATACCACTGATGATACCTAGTCGGTTTTGAAACTGATGATGTTAACAATGACTCACCAAACTGACAGAGGAAGGCCTTCTGCTGGGTACAGTCGGCGTCACTCCACTGCCAAGAGTTGCTAGAAAAGGTCTCCCTCTCCCGGAACATGTGCCCACATCTGACCCGGGTAGCATCGTTGAAGGGCAGACTGCTAAAATTGGCGCTTGCTATGAGAAACGAAAAGGGGATGATTTGCGTTGATACAGTAAACAACTAAACACAGGTTATTGAATATGGAAAGAGGTAATATATGCGTCTTATTCATATTCCTAAGCCCGCATCTACTGACCCTCATAGGACTGCAATATAATAATAATAATAATAATAATAAGAAGAAGAAGAAGAAGAAGAAGAAGAAGTATTACGGGTGTTCACAAATGAAAATAATGAAGTATTACAGGTGTTCATAAATAGTAATAATAACAATAATAATGAAAAGGAGAAGGAGGAGAAGAAGAAAAAGAAGCAAAAGAAAAAGAAGAAAAGGAAGAAGAAGAAGAAGAAGAAGAAGAAGAAGAAGAAGAAGAAGAAGAAGAAGAAGAAGAAGAAGAAGAAGAAGAAGAAGAAGAAGAAGAAGAAGTATTACGGGTGTTCACACAAAAAATAATGAAGTATTACAGGTGTTCATAAATAGTAATAATAACAATAATAACAATAATAATGAAAAGGAGAAGGAGGAGAAGAAGAAGAAGAAGCAAAAGAAAAAGAAGAAATGGAAGAAGCAGAAGAAGAAGAAGAAGAAGAAGAAGAAGAAGAAGAAGAAGAAGAAGAAGAAGAAGAAGAAGAAGAAGAAGAAGAAGAAGAAGAAGAAGAAGAAGAAGAAGAAGAAGAAGAAGAGGAAAAAAAGAAGAAAAAGAAGAAAAAGAAGAAGAAGAAGAAGAAGAAGAAGAAGAAGAAGAAGAAGGAAGAAGAAGAAGAAGAAGAAGAAGAAGAAGAAGAAGAAGAAGAAGAAGAAGAAGAAGAAGAAGAAGAAGAAGAAGAAAAAGAAGAAGAAGAAGAAGAAGAAGAAGAAGAAGAAGAAGAAGAAGAAGAAGAAGAAGAAGAAGAAGAAGAAGAAGAAGAAGAAGAAGAAGAAGAAAAAGAAGAAGAAGAAGAAGAAGAAGAAGAAGAAGAAGAAGAAGAAGAAGAAGAAAAACTCCACAACAGGAGCATGTACAGCAGGAGTCTACCAATCATCCCTAGATGTCCCCCCTTCAAACAATTGTATCGGCCAGTTATCCTTATAGACCAGTGGTTGTCAACCTTCCCAATGCCCCGACCCTTGATTACAGTTCCCTGTGCGGTGGCCACCCCCAAACATACAATTTGTTTCGTTGTTACTTCATAACTGGAGTAAATATGTGTTTTCCGAAGGTCTTCGACTCAAAAAAGGGTTTCGACCCATAGCTTGAGAACCGCTGCCTAGACAATCTTGAAAGGTGGGGGTTGGGGGGGGGGGTCGACCTAGGTTATGACGTCAGGCCTCTGACTTCTCTTGCTGCGCTTATCGGACATTCAGGCAATATGTTATCGTAGGTTTGCAACAGGTACTGAGGTTAAGGTGTTGCATATATGTGTGTTTACACCTGGCTGGTATTACAGGTGTCCTAATAATAACTTGTGTGACGATATAACGGGGTATTTGATATCTGTTACCGGGTTTTGTATTCCATCCAGACTGAGATTCTTTCTATCTCAGTGGAGTATGGTCAGCCTTTAGTAAGATAACAGCCCAGAGTGGACAAGCCAATTGATGGAACCTACGCCTGACGTGTTATTTAAGTAAAGAGAGATAACCGTTTGGGTATCAGACATTAGTAGAGATAGAAGATTATTATGGTCTGGAGAGAATGAAGCATTTGGGTGTAACCAGAGGGTCTGACCGGACGAACAGATAACCAGATTGCGACGGGTACCATCAGTATTGGAGCTCTGCGCTGGTTGCTGAAGATGAGGATGGAGCATGCATGGTTATGCCTCAAGTGCCGTGATGTCAACTCTTGACTCAATTTAACTCAGCTCAACAACTGGTTATACGTTTCGTAGTCACTCTAACGAACCAGTAATGTTTTTGCTATGTTTCAAATTAAATTTAACTGCTATCTCAACGCACTGATGTGTTGGTTTATCATATTTTGTCTCATTAGTCCCCATAAGTGGCTGCTTGGTCGAATGGTTGGAACACTGGATTCCTGTGCGGGAGACCAGGGTTCGAATCCGCAGTAGTTACTTTTTTCTCTGTGTTTGTTTGCATGTGTATGTGTCTCGGTGTGTTTTTTTTTTGTTTTTTTTTGTTTCATATTTGATGTGACTGTGTGTATATCTTCGTTTGTGTCTGTGTGTGTCCCCGTATGTGTTTGTCTTCATGTTTGCCTGTGTATGTTTATGTGTTTTGTCTGCGGGTGTGTCTATGAGGCTGTATGTATGTATCTCTGTGTGTGGGTGTCTGTATGTCTGTCTGCGTGAGTGCATGTATCAGCATGTGTCTGTCTGTCTGTGCATGTCTATGTGTGTTTCTCTGTGTGTATTGTGTGTGCCCCTTTGTTGTCTGTATGTGTCTGCATGTCAGAGTATATGTCTGTGCGTGCTGAATATATGTGTCTGCGTGTGTATTTCTATGTGTTTGCATGTGTATACACTTCTGCGTGTTTGTCTCTGTGGGTGTCAGTATGGGTTTGTCTGCCTGTTTGTCTGTGTCTGTGTTTGACTGCGTGTGTGTCTATGTGGCTGTATGTATATGTCTGCATGTTTGTCTGCGTATGTGTGTGTGTGTGGTGTGTGTGTCAGTGTGTGAGCACGAATGTAAATATGTGTGCTGTGTGTGTTTATATGTAAGTGTATGTGTGTGTGTCTGTATTTTTGTCTGAGTGTGTGTGTCTCTGTGGGAGTGTCCGTGTGTGCATGTGTGTGTCTCCATGCATGACTGTATTTATGACTGTATGTTTGTATGTGTGTATGCCTGTATTATGTATGTATGAATGTATGTATGTATGCCTGTATGTTTGTATCTTGGTATGTATGTTTGTGTGTATGTATGCCTGTGTGTATGTGTGTGTATGCATGTTTGTTTGTATGTATGTGTGTATGTATGTATGCCTGTATGTGTGTGTAAGTGAGTGGGTGAGCGTGTGTATGTGGGTGTATGTATGCACGCGCGGGTTTTTACATGCACTTTACAACTCATGCTTTTGTGTTCTTTTTTAATATTCATAATATGCATATCATCATATGATCATAACATGCTTTATTAGTAAAATACAATTGCTGTGTGAAAGATGGTTGACTGGAAGGGCCGAATGTAAGACGGGCATGCGTGCCCAATTTGTGACCCTTTGAAAATAAAGTTCGTTCGTTCGTTCGTTCGTTCATTATCTCTTGTGTATGTCTTTCGTGAACAAATTAAGAAGAGTTTGGAGTCATCTGAGGTGTGGTTCTTGAGAAGAATGTTGAGAATTCTTTCAGAATAGATAACATTGAATGCCTGGAAATGGCTAAAGACAGCAGAACATTTTACATAACAATGAGAAGGAGACACAGTTCTTTGGTCATGTGATGAGAAACGGAGCGCTTGAAAATATCGTGACGACAGGAAAGATCTCTGGTAGAAGAGGCAGAGGCAGATCACAGAAAATGATGGTGGCATGGAGGAATATCATTAGTGGAACTTATCCAGAACACCAAAGACAGAGATCTGTGGAGATTCATGAACGCAGGCAAGCGGGCACTTGATGATTGTGACGATGTCATTCGAACCTAACTATTTAGTTCTTCAGAGCACAATGTCTTAGAAAATAACAAGTTTAAGTAACTCATGCATGGACCTGACAGAGTTATGGAGTCCTCTCAGGGATTGTGACGCGCCGGTTAAATGATCCAAGCCTCATATTTGTATATCATTTGTTGTTAAAGTAATGTTAACAACACCTCTGGTGTGTTTAAGCATGCACGATAGGTAAACTCTTTAACTATTCGGCATGTAGCTAATTTTACCAGTAAACACTTCCCAGAAAGGTCCTTGCTCATTATGATTTTGAGTATTGGTATTGGAATTCTGCTATGGCTGCTGAAGATGGGGACATAGGGCTTATGGGAATGCCCTGAGTGCTGTGATGTCGATTCTTATATCAGCTCAACTCAGCTAAACTTATTATGACTTGACCTGATAACTATTTCAGTGTTACCGAAACTCCAAAAGTAGCAGTGAGCTAAGCATTAACAAATACAGCTAAGGGAGTCTGAAAAACTTTCGAACTTTTCTTTTGAAGACTTACTTCCATTAAAAGTCCATCCGTAATTGGTAGCACCGATCCAATATTCGGAGGTCGGCTCCAAATGCTGATTAACTTGAGCCATTTCATTGAATTCGTGCATGTTCCACAGGTCTCCGCCGAGGTTGGTGCAGTAGGCTCTTGCAGCGTACCAGTTGTATTCCAGAGCCACACGCAGCATACATTTGTCCATCATGATAAAGCGACAGACTGGACCAAAGCAGCTCTCGTCCACACAGCTGGACTTTTCACCTGTAAACAGATCATTGAGTGAATTTCAGGGAAATGTGACTCAAAAGCTCAACTAAACGGGAGGGCAGATTATTGAATGACATGGAAATGTAATGACCAGTGAAGTAAATTTAGTATGCAGCCGCGATGGTATAACGACTGTATAACGCATGTCGACCGAAGGTGTCCAGTTTAAATCCGAATGGAGCCAGATTTAAAATAAAAAAAAAGTAAGGTCATGGAAGTAAAGACCGCTGGCAGGATTTTGACCACCTTTAGAATACTGATCTTTCTATAAAGAATATTAGTCTATCATGGTATGCCTGATGCACCACTAGTTAAAAAATGGTCGTTTACTTCCTTTGATTTTAAATTTATAATGGGAACAGATTGATCGATTGTTGTTGATATTGCATGGTCTCAGGTACACAGGTATTAAACAAGCCACAAACCCTCCCACTTACTTCAGAATAGCAAAATACGAGAAGTCTTGACAACTAGCATAAGACTGACCACCTTAACTACGAGATGTCGATTATATCGAAGGGGAGGGGGGGGGGGCACCTGAGCACACATGGACGTGTCCAAATTGCAGGATGACAGCCTAACTCATAAATCAAAAAATAATACTAATTTGTGTGTGTGTGTGTGTGTGTGTGTGTGTTCTGTGTGTCTGTGTGCATCTGTGTACACTTACAATAGCATACGCACTTTCACTCTTACTTGAAAAGGTTTCTATTACAGCAGCGCTAGAAAAAAAAATATGATTAAAAAAGCTGCGGCGGGTAGTCTATTATGTCTGTGTGTACAGGCTCATTCACCCCCCCCCCCTTTTTCCCATTTTTTTCCCTAAAGAAAATGTTTTCATATTGCCTACAGACATGCCCAGACAATACATCTTACCGTTTTTTAATGACATATGTTTGTTGTATTTACTTCACTCTTCCCAGTCAAACAAAAACACTTTTCACTAGGACGTTCCGAGTGGTGACGCAGGATGCCTTCAGGTCTAGGGCAGCGGTACCGTGGCAGCAGGCACACGACCCCTGGAACTATCCTAGCAATCTCTTAGTTTATCCTGTTTATCACCCCTCAAACGTGGACGTGTGGTTTGGCAAAGAAATATGAGTGTAAATATATGGGGTCAACATTCACCGAAGTTGGCAAATTGGATGAGAACATTAAATGACGATTCTAAAATAAATTTATGAGAGTTTTTAAATGGGATCGATTCAAAGAAAGCGAAACATAAGCAATGAAGCAAAACAAATATTGGAACACTCCTCCCCCCCCCCCCCTTTCCTCATTTTTTTTAACCCCACCCCTTCCTCCTCTTACTGTTGTACTTCTGATTCTGCAGCACCAGCCTGCCAGTCCCTGCACTCATCTCCTAAAGTGATTAGAACCCTACAAAAGTCTGAAACCGGATCGGACACTTTGACCCACTCCTCGCCTGAACAGAATGGCACAACGAGGAGTTACAAGGGGATCTAGCCGACGCTCGACACTCAGGGTAAGGCGAGACAGATATACAATTAGACAGTTACTGGTGCCATCGAAATTTTAACTCTTAGCTTGGTGCTGAAGATTATGGACGGAGCGCTTATGGTGGTGTCCCTAATGCTGTGATGTCGATTCTTAATTCAACATTCAACGCCTCTTACAGTGACGTAGAGCGCATGGGGCACACCAATAACACGATGACAAGGTAACATCAGAGAAACTCTACAACGCCTTTTCCAGTGCCACCGTCTATGGTCGAGGCGACCAGGTGAGGAAGACACTAATCTATCTCTTTGGTCACCTGAAGCAGTAAACCAAGAATTGACGCTGAACAAACTGTATAGTGCATTATGGTCCTTTTCTTAGATGCACCAGAACAACACAGTCTCATTTTTTCAAACATTGTATTGTAGTGTTTTGTTGTATTTCATACATACAGACTTCCCCACAAAACAAAAGTTCCCATTTCCCTTGCTGCTACAGCAGAAAATGAATTCATTTAACATTGTGGGATTGCTTATAGCATACTCAATTCTTGCCCCTCCCCCTCCCCTCTTTTTTTTTCAACACAACATCAACATGATTTTATTTACTCTAATATTGTATTTGTGTGATATTCCGCACAAACTTACCCAGACAACAAATAAAATGGTTTTTAGTGAAACAAGTGTTGCTTCCCATTTGTCTTTCCCGCATGGTCTCTCCGTTGACTGTAGCACACAGGAGATCCGTCCTAGTGAAGGCGTTGGCATTAGAGATTTTGATCAACGAATCTGAAACAGAGATTTTGATCAACGAATCTAAAATACAGATTTCAATCAGCGAATCTGACAGAGAGATTTTGATCAATGAATCTGAAATAGAGATTTTGGTCAACAAATCTGAAATAGAGATCTATGTTGATAATAATAATACCAGCATGTGTGTAACGTGTGCTTAAGAGAAGTTTTAATATTGAAGTGTTAAAATCCACTGTGTGAGTTCCGTGACCTTTGTAGTAATCATTATCATCACGTGCCCTACAGACGATCGTAGGCGTTCATGCACCTCCACAGATCTTGGTCCCTTGTCCTCTGTGCCAGTTCCACCAACGATTTTCCTCCGTACAACCGAGGCAGTCCATCCGTCATCACCTTAATTGGTCTGCCTCTGCCTCAGGTACCATTGTTCTTCACAGTCGTCACTATACTCTGCAAAGCATCCACACCCCTCAGTAAATGACCAAAGAACAGTGCTTGTCTTCTCCTTATAGCTGTATGTATTCTTCTTCTTCTTTTTCTTCTTCTTCTTCTTCGTGTTTACCGGCTGTGAACTCCGGCTGAAAGTTCTAGTTGTTCGTCCACTTCTGGACTGCAGCCCTGTTCCAGAACCTGTGTATTGCCTGTGCATCTGTTTGACATATCTGTATGCAGACTGTTGATTCCTTGCCTCTCAGGCAGATGCACTCCGACTTCGAAGGAAGCTCCCATTTAGTCGACTCTTACGACATGCTTTTTTGTGTAGGCAGTGGTTCTATTCTTGTTTTTCCCATAGTAGGGCTCTGGAACCCACACGGGGTGCTGTATGTATTGATCTGATTTCACTAACTTCTTTCAAGCAATCCTCGTTAGTTACTTTGCCAGTCCAATAGATTCTTTACATTCGTTGAAAAAAAAAAAAAAACATTCGTCGGCATCAATTTCTTTCTAATTTGTTCATTTACAATCAATGATTGACCACCATACAGCAATATAGGTTCTACATAACATTGTAATACTCTATTTCCGACATCTAAAGAGTGGGAACTATTGCACATTATGTTGTACATTCTGTGAAATGCAAAATTAGCCTCCGGCAATAGTCTACTACTTACAGGTGGTTCCTCTGAAAGAGTGCCTTCGCCTAAAAGGTAAAGAATTAACAGTCTGCGTACAGGAAACCAGATATTTGATAACGGGTTTGCAAACAAAATTCATGATCTGGAACAAGACTAAGATCCAAAAGTGGACGAACAACCAGGCTTTCTGCCAATGTTTGCAGCCGATAAATGCAAAGAAGACAACGAAGAATTGTTATAAGTCGATCAAAGACATCTGGACAGTCTGACATGGACGAAACATCTCTATCAGATTTTATTGCAACTACACGAGACAGAAGGTTGTGGGCATTTTTGCATTGCTACCAACGCCACACGACATATACCACAATAATAAGAAGTACTCACAACAGAATCAGAATTATTATTACCCAAAATTTTCCTGGAAAATTACTAGACTCTTACAGTCTGGTGAGAATGGCGCTGTGAGGAGTTACAAGAGGATCTGGCACGCGCTCAACACTTAGAGGAAAGGCGAGGCAAATGTACAGACATTTGCCTGTACCATCGGAATTAGATCTCTTCGCTTGCTGATGAAGATGGGGACGGAGCACTTATGGTGGTGTCCCGAGTGCTGTGATGTCGATTCCGAATTCAACATTCAACATTACTGGGAAATTTACCTTCCTTAGAGTGCACGATATAGAATCCTCTTTGGTCCCCGTAGTCGACTGCACTGACACCACACGGCAGCTTGTACCTCTCTTGTAATTCTTTCCGGCAGTAACACTCGGGAAATTTACCGGTTCGCTGCAATAGATGGAAAAATGCTGATTGACTTTGGTTTGGGCCATGTTATGAAACGAGGGAAACTGAAATAAAATGGACAACTGGACAAATTTATAGGAAAAAAAATGACAGATTCTTGACAACCCAATGTCATGTCATAAAGGGGTGATAGCTAATGAGCTGATATATGTTGTCGAGGATCGCAGGTTATGGAGAGTCATGAACGACCGGCCTGTCGCAAGGCACTTGATGTTGTTTGTGATGATGATAATGAAATGTTGAATGAGCCATTCAGAACAGAGTGATAATTGATTAACGTTATGCGTGTCACAAAAAGTCAAAAAGAGTTGGGTATAGTATGGTGTCTGCTTTCCAGATACACATCGAGATTGATTTATTAAATAATTGAAGCTTTCATGTCGACTAAACTAAAAATAAGGTACCAAGACATACATGAAGCAATTAAGACAAGCTGAGTAATGTTGATAGAACTCTCATTCCAATGCTATTGTGACAAAAGAAAGATGTCTCAATGGCCTTAATAATAATGGCATGAAAATGTTGATTTTACTTTTAATTGGGCAGTTGCTGTTTAGACAGCACTTTTCCAGGCGTTTAGGCGTAAAGGGCATATAGGGCTAGACCTGTATTTTTATAGACCAATCGGCACAAAATGGGTGATGTGGTCAGTATCCGGACTGCACCCGGTAGCCACTTAAGGCTGGCCGAACTGGGTGGGAGTCAATCTCGTTTTTTTTTTAAATGTTCGGCTACGTCAAGACGGGAACCACGACCTTCTGGTTTGCAGGAGGGTGTCTAGCCGTTACCGCCACAGCGACTCCCGGTATTTAGGAAAGAATTAAAACAATTACAAAGTATACGTTAGGAAGAAAAACAAATGACGATTTACATTCTACAGCCTATCGGGCTATCAGAGGTTACATGATAGAAGTAGCAGAATGAAGATAACAAAGACAAAAAAGAGAAGGTTGAGGAGGAAAAGGTTAAGAAAAACTAAACGGAGACGGTGAAATGACGTAATGTGTGATGAAAGGATACGAAAAAATGAAGAAGAAGAAGAAGTAGGAGACCGATAAAAGGAGAAGGAAAAGAAGAAGATTGAAACTTACATGCAGTATGATATATCTAGCACCACTATCATGGCACGTAGATACACAGTAGTCCACGCTTAGATATTCACTCTTGATGGGAACATAACTGTCCTCACTGGGCTGTTGTAGGGTGCAGTAATCCACTTTGTTCACCAAGGTTCCTATTTAATATATAATTGAAACTTAAGGTAAACAACTTAGTAAGAAACAAACTAACTGGCTGTCGGACTGACTATTGGTTGTCTGGCTGGTTGACTTACTGACTTGCTAACTAGTTGGCTAGTTAAATAACTTATCATCATCATCATGTAGCAGGTCCTTTGCAGAACGTCGCTCTCATCACAGCATGCCTGAAAGAAACTACGGTCTCTCGCCAGTTCTCCCGCCTAATGTACTTTCGGTCGGTCGGCCCCCTGCCCCTCCTTCCTGGTATCGTGCCTTCTGCTATAATTTTTTTTCAATCCGTCGTGGCCCTTGATATGACCAACATATTTCAGCTTCCGAGAAAGGATGCTGTTTATTGGCCAATCTTCCTTGATGTTGAGATCTTTTGTCAATATTTCTCCTATCTTCTTTGTCAAAGATATTCTGAGAATCTTTCTATAGCATTTCAGCTCAAAAGACCCTATACTCTTTTTTTAAGGACTGAGAGATAGTCTACGACTCAGTAGACTAAGGGAGAAAGGTTAGAGATAGATGTAAGTTAGCATTGAACTTGAAGAGACGTAGACAACTGGTCATTCTACACATCTGGGACCCATTATCAGTGAACTAAGAAATCTGGTATACAGATGCTTTCAAACAGAACAGGAATAATACATGCATTGAGGTATATTTATTGGAGCAAAATATCATTGTTCGTGATGCGTAGAGGATCTAATCAGGAAGGGAATAGGAATAGAGAAGAAGATAACTAGCAAAAACGTTGAGAGCTCAACGCATGAGAACAAGTACACTAAACACATGTAAGAATAACAACGGTCACGAAATATGAGTCTCTAGCTGTGTAAGACTTTTCGTACGTAGGCTGGTCTTGTCACTTACAATCGCGGTCGCTATGGGTTTTCATTCTGCACATATCACAAAATGACACTATCGCCTGGAAAGATAAAAAGGTGCCGACAACTACAAATCAGCTAAAGTCTAAAAACTAGGTTACTTAAAAATAAATTATCCCTCCACGCAACTAACTAATCAACCAAATGAGTCAGATCTGTAAAATGGATGCAACACTCAGGTTCTGCAACAGGACTTCAGTCCAAACGTTGAAAAAAAAAAAAAAAAACTTTCCACAACAGCTTACAGCTGATGAACGCAAAGAAGAAGAAGAAAAAGAAGAACCAATAGACTAACTAACAATAATTTACAAAATCTATTTACCGACCATTGATCCAAATAAAATGAGGGGTCCATAAACCGATGGCGTTGATCCACATGTCATCGTATTTTGTGTCAGACATTTCTGCCAGACATTGCATCAGTTCAGGTCTAGAGGCCAAACGTGCGTCAGGGGTCTGAAGAAAGATTAAATAATGAATCGGTACAGTAACACCCTTTTGGAGTAACGACTACAGAGCATATTCCTAAGACCACTGTGAGTTCGTTCCACCGATGCGTCGATCGGTTTATAAGTGCAGCTTTTACACAGACCTAAGGATCGTTCATAGAGCTTTGGACAACGGCACATAGATACAAATGAACATTTGTTACAAGGTCGTGCATGGAGAACTCAAGTTTTAGATCACGACTTTGTGAGCAAACGCTTACAACCCCCCCCCCCCCCCAACCCCCTCCCCCTTTATTTTCATTGTTTTTCACAGGAAATTAAATAACGAGAAAGCAACTTTACAAAAGCGAATAAAAAGCAATCATACAGGCAGGTAAACCAGTCGCCAGACAGTTGTTCTTTCCGATCATATCTAGTGGTTTAACCTCTTTAATCAGTAAAGTCTGTGACTTTGTCTAATCTATCAAATGTCTTTTAACGATTAGTTAGGATAATATTTCATATAGAACTTTGCTTCTTCTCAGACGCTCACCTCATGTGCGGTCATTTTCTCGGTTATCTCCATTTCCTTCCCGATTACTTCCTTCTATTGAACACGGTCCACGACATCGTTAAATGTTGAATGGTGAACAGAACTAGGGACATCCCAATAAGCGCCCCGTCCCCATTTTCAGCAGCAAGCGATGGGTTTAAATTCCGATGGTATCAGTAATTGTCTGTATGTATATCCGTCTCGCCTTTCCTCTTAGTGTCGAGCGTCGGCCAGATCCCTTTGTAACTCCTCGCAGTGCTACTCCTTAGACCGTTATGATCTATCTGTGCCTCGGCACTGTTCACTCGCTTCAAAAGGGCCCTGACAACATCCAGCTTGTCATACATCAGTTCAGCATCAAGTGGTACAGAACCGGCCAGTCTATTTGCTTGCTCATTTCCCAACACACCGGCATGACCTGGAGAAATGAACTAAAGGAAGCTAACTACCCTTGACTTTTGAAATCATGCTTGCCCCCTTGCACGGAGTTACACCCCCCCCCCCACCCCCGCCCCCAACCTCTCCCCCCCCCACACCCATCTTTCCAACTGTAACCATTTACTCCAGTTTTCTCCTCCTTATCACATGAATAAATAATGTAGATTGCCTGTTTCTGATGTAGGCTATCAGTTCTCTTTGTGAGTCAGTTTCTTTCAAGACGTCTTCATTGCTCGTTTTTATCTATCCAGGGTATTCTTATCATTCGTCTTGAGAACTAAATCTCCTCGACTTTAAAACATTTTTCACTTTTTACTAATTTCTCTTAAGTATATCAAAAACGGATTTATATAGCTTTTTAAGAATTGTCTTTCTCATCTCAGCTGACAAAGAACAATTCTGCCTTTCCCACTCGAAACCGAACATCCTAGTGTCGCTCTGTTTATGTGCCAGCGAAAACAAAATGCCTATCATTGTCCCACACATTAAATAGAAAAGGCAACCCACCAGAAGTGCCAACACAAACATTCCGATAAATGCTAGGGTTGATATGCAACGTCCTTGCAGTAAATGCACCAATAACATACATAATCAATCACTCATTCAACTAGTAAACAAATCTTAAAGTCGAGTGTACCTCATACAAAGATCCTCCAGCACTTTCACAGATCCCAGAAGCCTCAATCCAAGAAGCAGCAGTGGCGACGGGTACAAGGCATTTCTTATCCTTGGGCAAGCTGATAGCGTTCGGGTGGCTGCATGGGTTTTGTGCTGAATATAAAGCAACCGTCATTATTCCAAGGTATTTTGTTTTTACTGCCATATGTCCTTCCCGCAGTTTTTCGTTATTGTGAAACCCTCCCTTTCTAAGCCTTTACTGATAATAGCTTACTATTGTAAATATACTGTTATATTTTATTTATCATTCAGCACATCATCATCAATATCATTATCATCATCGTCATCAACATCACTATCATAATCGTCGTCATCATAAATATCCCTGTCATCAACCTTATCACTAAAATCACATCATAATTACTGTTATGCACTTAAAGAAGGATTGGGTCCCCTGAAGTGTACAGACTTTGAAAAGCTCCAAGCTCCTCCCCCACCCCTCTTTCCCTCAATGTTTTTTTTTTTCGCCTCCTGACCAAACGACACTCAATACGAGATGTGCACAACATTACACCTGCCTCCGTACTTTCCCAGGATTTTTCCTAGAATCCATTTTAGGCTGTTTCAAATCGACAGCAACAGCAGCAGCAACACCAACAAATCGCCTGTATGTGGATTCGAACACATTGCCACCAGGTCAGCAGGTAAACGTGCCATTTGTAGAGAGGCTCCCCAATATCCTATGTGACATTGTTGAAATGTGAATTCTACTGGTACTGGTAGGGAAAAGATAGAACGGGGTAACCAGTAAGCAATCTGAAGAAGAAATAATACCAGCGGATGCAGTTAAGTAAAAGTAAAGGCTCACTTTCCACACCTTTAAGCATACTGGGCATGGAGGGATGGATCAATCGGCACTTGCTGGGTGATGAAGTGAACATTAAACCGGCCACCTTTATATTTACATAGAACGTCCAATATTTATTCACTATATTCATTGTTCAAAATTTTAGTAGTTGCGTATCCTTTACAGGACGTTGCAGAACTAACCCCAGCATTTTCTGGCTGTTGTGGTTTTTCTAGGCAAATTTACGTCCAGTAGTTTGCCGTTGCTTACTGGACGGTCGGCTCTGGGTACTACGGTCGAAACCATCGCAAGACAAACCGTCCGCAGCAGGGATCGAACCCGGCACCCCGACATTACGAAGTGCGTTCGCAGCGCCTAAGCCACAGACGTTGACATTGCGGATATCGGGCTCATAAAAAGTGAAAGATCTGTGTCAACGTATGTATATGCTTATTTTCATGGTGGGAAGGGGAGGGGTGGGGAGGGGGCTGGGGGTACAAAAAATTCTGAGTTTGACAAATATGAAAGAAATTCCCATGTCTAGAAGATAGCAGCACCAGTGGAATTGTAAATTATAAAATCATAGGTTTTTTTTTCTTCTTCTTACGTGTTCACCAGCTATAAACTCTGGCGGAAAGTTCTGCTTGTTCATCCACTTTTGGACTGCAGTCCTGTTCCAGAACCTAAGTGTTGCGTGTTCATCCGTTTTACAGATATGACTCATTTGTATGCAGACTAATGGTTCCTTGTCTCTCAAGCAGATGCACTCCGATTACGAAGTAAGCTCCCAATTAGTCGACTCTTACGACATGCTTTTGGGTAGGCAATTGGTCTATTCTTGTTTTCCACATAGTAGGGTCCCGGAACCAACACGGGGAAAAAACCATAGTGACGCCTGCAATCTAGAACCACATGCACAAATTAGTGTTAATTTCTACCGAAGTTTCGAGATATTTATTAAAGTGTAAGAGCACTACTTTTGGACTGCACTTTAATACTAATATTATATAACCTACCGTTTAAGGTTGCCACAGCTTCTTGGCTTCTTACATCACTTAGACTGACGATGGCGATGACGAAGCAGCAAACGCATATTTTCCACATCTTTATTGTTGATGATTCTGTTATCACTCTATCTTAATTTTTTTGTGGTTTTATGTACAGTTTTCTGCCAGACAGCTGTTGTTCTGAGAAAGGAAGAAAAAGAAAACAATAATAAAACAATGAGTTCATAATCTGTAAATCACAGAAAACTACACATGATAATGATTTTGTTTAACGTCAATTTCGATCATTTCTTTTTTTCATTGACAATGTTTTAATCTCTGCAGTCATGTTTTTTTTTCCTCCATCTTTTAACAATAAACACACACGTACACACACACACACACACACACACATATATATATATATATATATATATATATATATATATATATAGACATATTTATGTATATATATATATATATATATATATATATATATATATAGAGAGAGAGAGAGAGAGAGAGAGAGAGAGAGAGAGAGAGAGAGGGGGGGGGGGCGACAAAAATACGGACAGTCAGACAGTTTAAACAAACTGAGTTTCGCATCCATTGCAGTATCTGCCCCAGCATGTGTTGGGTGTCTGTGATTTCACTGCACGAGGCAACTTTACGTTCAGTAGTTTGCCATTTCCTTCTGTATGGTCGACTCTGGACACCTGTGTCGAAACCGATTAAAGTCGGTTTGCTGCTGAATCGCCAGCAGCTGGGTTCAAACCCGGCACCCTGAAAATACTAAGAGTCCTTGCAGCATTCAGGCCACAGATGCCGGCATCAAAGAGTTACGTCATTTAGTGAAGGGGGTTTAATGTATGTTTTTTTTTATTCGATTATCTTCTTCGCACTGGGTCTGTCTCTTTTCAATGATATACGAAAACAACGGTACCGGTTGCAGTCCCAGGAAGTAAAAGCGGCCGGCGTGATGCTGACCACATCACCCATCTTCTGCCGATTGGTCTATAAAAATATAGGTCTAGCCCTATATGCCCTATAGCCTAAAGGCGTGGAGAAGGGACCTTTACTTACTTTAGTTACGAAAAAAAAATGATGAAGTCTCTCCATGACATCATGTGGCTGTGGCTAGTTACGAGGGAAAGTCGTTAAGTGAAGGCGATTGTATCCAAATTTACATGGAACAGTATGCAGAGAAAACAATAATAAATGTTTTCAGGACTCAGAATGACCTTTTTGCAATACCCAAAGTACGTGGCGTGGCGATTTAGCAGTGTAGACATACACAAAGATGGCCGCAGCACTGTTAACATGCAATGCTATTCGTTTTTAATGGGCAAAGGATTTTAAACCGTCTGAAATGTGTCGAAGAATAAAGGTTCGATACGGAAACAGTTGTCTCTGTCAGAGGAACGTGTATGAATGGGTGAACAGATTTAGAAACGGAAAGGATAACGTCAATAAGGAAACGCTAAGGGGCAATGGCGACTGAGACAGTCTCTCTCTTTGAGAGATGTGAACCAGCGTCACTGCACACAGTTACTAACCATAAGTGCTCTGCCACCAGTACAAACAGCTGATAAGAAACTGTCCGCCTGTGTCGCACGAAACTCTGTAGCTACAGCGTTCCTCAATTTACTCCAGAGCGTTAAATCTTGTACCCATTTCCTATAGGCTGTGTGAAGACCGGAAACCGCCATGTTTTTAACACCGGCCGCGGTGGGCTGCAGCGAGTGGCAGCTGGATTTGATAGCGAGTCTCCTATCGACTGCGCTAAAACGCGACCCCCAGTTGAGACAGTGCAACAGCAGGCAACAGAGAATCCACAAACACCAGACAGGTCACTATTTATGAAATTGCTGTAGAATTCCACGTGAGTCGTGGTGCTGCATAGACAATTGTTCATGACAACTGTGGTTATAGAAAAGTGTGTGGCAGATGAGTTCCTAGGCAGCTGTCCGATGAACAGAAGCACACCAGATAGACTCCACGAGCATTTGGACCGTCATCCCGCGAACCAGATGCTTTTCTCTATTCGAATTGTGGCAGTTGATGTCCTTGACTCACGTTTAGGAACCAGAGAGTAAGAGACAACCGAACATTTGTGGGGTCAGAGATTTGCAGATGGCAATGATAGGATGACGGTGATGCAAACTTGGTTACTGGCCACGCTCAAAAGCTTCTACCTGAAAGGTATCCACAATATGTGGATCGATGGACTATATGTGTTGCAAGGCATTGAGACTATGTCGAGAAACAGGACATAACGATTTGTTTCCACCGCTTGTACCAGCGTGTTAATGCAATTGCCTTTACTTAATGACTTCCTATATTCCCTGCTGTCATTGGAAATATTACTGTGAAAGACACCAAGCTCTGTCATCGTGCAAGAATGCGGCATAAAGTAAACATTAAAACCCATAATGGATCATCTGAGAAGACCCTTGCACATTATTTCCAAAGGTCAAAGAACGATGTTTGCATTTCTCAAAGAAAGTTAGGGCGTTAAATAAAGCTCGTTTCCTCAATACCCCCACAGTCAACACACCGATTATCTTGTTCCACAACACTTGGTCCATAAAATCTAAAACTGAATGTTTACTTTTGAATTTTTGCAGTAGCTCACATGGTTCTTATTAATGTACAAGTCTAAGATAAAAAAAAAATTATGCACAATATATGCATTAAATATAATTATGAATACTGTTATTACTAAACAGATGAACAATAGAAGAAAAAGTAGAAGAAGGAAGAAGAAGTAAAGAAGAAAAGGAAGAAGGAGGAGGAGGAGGAGAAGAAGAAGAAGAAGAAAAAGAAGAAGAAGAAGAAGAAGAAGAAGAAGAAGAAGAAGAAGAAGAAGAAGAAGAAGAAGAAGAAGAAGAAGAAGAAAAAGAAAACGCAGAAGAAAAGGAGGATGATTATAAGAATAGTCGACTGGCAAGAGTGTGGGTACCGAAAATCAAAATCAAATAGAACACTCTGTTCATTAATTTAAAAAAATGGAAACGAACAACAAAATCCTATGCTATTATATGGAAACCAAATAACATTAATCCCAAATGCGACACACACACACACACACACACACACACGCACACACACACACACACACACACATACAAACACAGACAACTAGATATAGCAAGCATATTGCTAATTAATCTTTCGAACTAATCGGAAAAAACTGAAATAACCAGCGAAAGGGAAAGTGGTTAACTATTTCTTTATAATTACTGTCAGAAGAAGCATACAAATCATACTTCTTAAATTACCGAAGAAACTGGACAAATATACACTTTTAAAGATGTCATGCAAAGCAATTATACAACAGATCAAGCGGTCTGGCCATCGAGTTAGAATGCAGCAAGATCAAATGCATCACACGCACTACATCTCAGAAGATTCACTACAAGATCAAGAGGACGGCCATAAAATAATGAACGGAGAAAGTAAAAGACTCTACAGCTTGTACTGGAATGGCAAATTATTCCTTTCCACGGCGCCTAACGTAGAAAGGTTTCATAATGATGATAACTAACACACACACACACACACACACACACACACACACACACACCCATCAAATAAAGAATCGAATAGCTTTAAAAGCATTACCGTTATTTTTTAAAAAAAATTAACAACTCTACAGCTTGCACTGGATCGCAAATTATTCCTTCCAACGTCGCTTAGAGCTGAAGGGTTTTATGATGATAAGAATAACACTTTCTCTCTCTCTCTCTCTCTCTCTCTCTCTCTCTCTCTCTCTCTCTCTCTCTCTCTCTCTCTCTCTCTCTCTCTCTCACTCACGCTCTCTCTCACACACACACACACACAGATACATATATATATATATATATATATATATATATATATATATATATATATATATATATATATATACAACAGATGCAAAACTGTTTGGCTTTAAAGGCAACATGCGTTATTTAAAAAAAAAAAAAAAAATTTAAGGATCGTCATCCTTGAGACATGAAGCAAATAACATGAATGCCTTATTTATTAAACCAGACACAATTCATCTCAGATTTGAATCAAAAGAGTTGCAGATATAGACTTCTTACCTGCAGTTAGTTGGATCAGACTATTTCCGAATTAGATAACCAAGCTGGCTTATAACTGTGAGTGTATTTCTTATTGACATTTATATTCACATATTAGGCAGCACAATCTCAGTTTGTTTTTTACATGAATTCCCTCGCCTCAAACTATGACTACAATAGAGTGCCTAATGAGAGAATTATAGAAAAACATATACAACCGAACGTTTCAACATGTCTGTATCAAGAAATAACACAAACAGGAGAATTATATTCTTCAATCTCTATACGGGGGTGTCAGGTAGAGAATGAACTAAAACGTAAACAGGAAAACTAGGAATAGGAAGACCTGTGGTGAAACGAAACCTTTGTTTGAAAGAACTTCACGAAAATACTACAGCATGAATACTATTTTCAGTTACATAATTACTTTTAGCAAAGGACAGTTTCAGAAACACACTCCAGCAGGGACGACAAGTAGAGAAGCAACCAGGGGACACAGGTAAATCTGACTCATTGAGCAAACACTGACTGTGCTGCCATGTTTACTTATTTGAATGATCAAAGGTTGCGTGTGGACACTGGGATGGCAGCTTTTGGCAGCCCGCTAAATGCTATCCAATGATTCTGGAATGTGCTGGGAAGCGCCAATCCCCAACTAAAAAGTAAATATTCTCATATATGTGAGTCGTGAGGCAGCTGTCCTAAACATCCAGATGGCCTAAGTATATGTATTAGGTGTGGCTGTAGCAAAGTGGCAGTACGCTGGACTTCTGGTCTTCTTCTTTTTCTCCTCCTCCTTCCGCTTTCGCTTCTTCTTCTTCTTCTTCTACTTCTTTTTCTTCTTCTTATTTTTCTTCTTTTTCTTCTTCTTCTTCTTCTTCTTCTTCTTCTTCTTCTTCTTCTTCTATTTCTTCCTCTTATTTTTGTCCTTTCCTGTGTTCACCCATAAAAGGGTGGTTGAAGCGTTGTGTTGTGGTTTACAGCTAGGCTGTGTTATATGCTCCTATCTGTCCGAAAATGGGATTTCACGAAATCTTTAATTAGCCACTTT